TGCAATTTGCACTTATATTTAACTATTACCACTTAAAATATATCTAATGCATGCATGTAAGTATAAATTTTATATGCTAAAATGTGCACATCACTTACCTGTTTGTTTATAAACTGCTAATTCTCTCACTGTCTCCACAAACTGCCAAAACCGTTCATTGCTTTCTTCTGCCATAAACTCACTGTTAAAAAATGATCCATGAATAAATAAAAACAAAATTAGTTTAAATACTATAAATTACACTGTAGAACAAAATAACATTTTATTACAAAACCTCCAAAACTAATGCTAAATTACTGAGATCTATTTGTGTAACATAATATGAAAATAAATTGACCTTCTCTCCTGAGGTAATTATATATGCATATATATACAATTATGCTAAAAAGACTACACTGTGTATTACTTTTGGCTTTTCCTTATTGACAACTTAGAATTTGTAATTTGTTTTTCACTCTTCATGAAATACCCCTAAGATAACAAAAATAAGAGCATTAAAGGTAAATAAATGAACAAATCACCCATTGTTCATCAGCAGATGTGTACCATAAATACTCCATAGAAGTAATATACAGGACCTTACTGCTGAAGAAACAAAAGACTTTGACCATTGACATGGAGAAATCAAACTGCAGGCTGTTTAGGGAGAAAACTCATCAAAGCCTTAACCACAGGTGACCTCTGCACATGCAATGACAAGCAGTCTGGAAAAGTGTGCCCATTGTTTCAACAGTGGCGTGAACATTAGGGGGCTAATAAACAATTTTCTGCCTGGATTTAAGGCCCACTCCAGAGGAGGAAACTCATGCCTGATACTATAGACCTTGCAGAGGACTTAGAACTTATTATAGGCCCTAGGGAGAAGCTAGCACCGCTTTACTAAATGGACACCGTATCAAACAGCCTTCTAACATTTCCTTCACACTGATTCTCATCAGTTCAGCGCTGTGCTTCTCTGTGAGGGGAAGCTAATGCAATGACTGAACGCTGGTCAGAGTATAAAGAGTGAGCGTCTGCGGGTGCTCATCCTTGATGGACTATATCATTACCGCTTCCCTAAACATCCAGGGAACACTGAAATGGGTGGAAAATAGGAAGAGCCAGAGGCAGAGGAGCCCTGCTGCGAAACTGACTTCTGGACACAAGACCTCTGAACTCAAACTCACAGTCGCTGTGGCTGCCTCTGCCTGTATAAAACCTCTACAACATCAAGCTGGTTCACTTTCCAACATGGACAGAAACGGGACTCACAGGCCCCAGCCCAAGCTGAGAAGCTATTGGCAGGTAACTGGTGGCTTCAGCAGTGGGGAGAGCCAGTTGCATTCAAGGGCATGGCTCCTGGGAGGCTGCCCAAGCTCAGGGGGATGGCGGACACACATGCACATGTCAGTGGCATGTAATTCTTACAAGTGCTCTATGTTTCCTCAGAGGAGAGGACATGGGTGGGGACTCCAGGAGAATTTAGGGGAGCAACAGGGGGTAGATACAATCAAAATTCATTTTTCAGACATGTGAAATTATCAAAGGATAGCATATATAGAAATAAAAACCAAGTAGTTCAAAAGCCAAAATAGTAAATTTAACTGTCTATTTACATAGATAATATTACTTAAAACAAAAATCCTAATACAAAAATGAACAGGAAATTGTTATACTGTACAAGGTCTTTGGGCTTAAAGTCCAAATAATCTCCAACTTTTTAAGAAAAAAGGTCAAGGTCTTTTAAGACCTTTCGGAGATAATGAAGTATTATTTAGTCTAGCATAGAAGAGCACACAAACCACCTTAAAATGTCCATCTTGATGAGTTAAAAATAAAAAACAAGATTTAAAAGTTGAAGCAATACTCACTAGGATATGACACAAACCTGGGATAGCACAGAATTTTAGATAAAGACCAGCATCTGGGGCTCAGTGACCTTGACAAGGTGTAGAGCGAGGCACACCTTGAGTATACCTGAGGCTATAAGCAGGTCATTGTCTAGGTTTTGGAATATTTGCCTATGCAAAATTCTTACTTTGGGGAAGAGACGAAAGTCTAATTTTGTAATTCATTTGTTTTATATACACATAACTTGAAGATAATGTCATACAATATTTTTTAATTCACTTGCATTTTGATTCTGTCCCATAAGGTCAGGTGTAGAATTTTCCACATCAGAGTAATGTTGACATCAATTTGAGGGTTTAGACCATTTAGAATTCAGGATTTGGGATGCTCAACATGCACTGTGTAGTCATAGGTAAAAGTATGACCTGTTAGTAAGACAGGACTTGATTATTCTTGCTTCTCTGAGCACAGGACTGCTCTAGGAACTTGGGTGGATCTAGAGTTGCCATCTTTCTATATCAGTTTCACTTGAAATGAACGAACAGGTCCAGGGATCACCTGCCTCTACTCAGCCAACAGTTAACTCAGCTGTCAGCCTGACCCTTGGCCATCTCTCTAGAACAATTCAGTTCCTGATTTTCACTTCCTTTCCAATACAAACAGGCTGCAAAATTCCAGACAGCAAAGTGTTTCTCTCCTTGTTCTGCAACATGCCTAGCAAAGAGCAATGAGGTAACATCTTGACTACGGCTTGAAAGTTTTCTCAGGTAAGTTTGATTTCTGCCCAAGTTTATTGCTTCCGAGGTGGTGTTCACAAGCAGTTGAACCTAAATTACCCAGTGCTGTCAGTATATGACTAGACTCATCGTTTTTCTTGCTTTCAATAATGCATTCCTTTTGAACCCTTTCCAGAACTACTTTTAATATTCATATTTTATCAATATCTTGTTCAAGATTATTATTCTCTAAAGTAACAGCATCTGGTTCTACCACACCCTTGAGTCCTCATCAGAATCACCACTATTATTCGGGGAGTCTCTTCAAGATTGTATGGTCCTTTTCTACATTTCTCAAAATTCTCCTAACCCAGCTCCACAGCTCCTTCTTAACAGTTTGGGGTTCTTGTTGCATTGAGATCCCATTTTTTTTTTTTTGGTACCAAACTATTTTTTTATTACTCTTATAATAAACTGCCAAAAACAAAGTGGGTTCAAACACTACAGACTTACTCTCTCATGACTCTAGAGGCCAGAAGTCCTATATCAAGCTCCTGGCAGGGTAGCCCTGCTTTGGAAGGCTCTGAATAGACTCCTTGCCTCTGGGAGTTTAGTGGCTCGAGCTGCTCTGTGAATTGAGGCTGTTTAACCCAATCAACAACTCAGTCTTTGCATGGCCTTCTCCTGAAGTATTTTTATCTGTGTCTTCTGACATTGGACTTGGGGCCCACCAAAATAATTAAAAATGCCCCACTATTCTCACTTAGACTTGCAAAGACTTTTGACCTAAACAAAGTGTCATTTACATATTTTGGGGGGTGTGGTTAGGATGTGGACATACATTTGTAGGAATCTCATTCAACACAAGAACCAAGGGTGGCAAATTTGACCCAGACTACCCTGTGAAGGGCTTTAAGGAACATTCTATCTGAAATTTGCAAAAAATAAAAAAGCAGATGATGCAACTAACAGTTCAAAAAAAGAAATTTGGCGGCTGGGAACTAAGTGTGCGACCAAGCCCAGGTACTGCTAGGAGACACTATGGACTAGAGGAAGCTTTAATAATTTATTCAATAAAAATTGTTGCTAAGCAGCTAAATAGAAGGTAATACAGTGTGATGGGGTTTCGTTTTTAGAACCATGGGATGCTGCTTTATAAACACTTCAACAGTTACAAAACTTTATGCCCAATACAAAGGAAAAAAAACTGAGATAGTTTCCCTTTTATAGCCTCAGGCTGGCCACACACTCATGAATTTATAACCCTTCTGCTCTGCATGGATTACAAAGGTTTGCCACCGCAAGCCACAAGAGGCAGCATTTCTGCTTCTGTTCACAGGAATTTGAAAGTGTAAAATCCAGTAAAGATGTCTGCTTTCTGCTAGGTAACTACACAGAATGAGTAACAAATCCCCTTGGATGATGTGAGTGTGTGTGGTGGTGGGGGGTTATCGCTGAAAAGCTGCCTCACCACCCCACCGCAAACTTGGGAATGAGACGAGTCAAAAGTTTAAGGAGAAAACTAGGAGCTTCAAACACAATCTGCTAACCAGAACTTTGCAGAGAGCTTGCATTAAACTGTGCCTTCCTTCTTCCACGTCGGTAGGACACGCAGGGACACGAGTGGAGACAGAAAAGTTTTAAAAATCACGAGCGGGTGGGGCAAGTGAGTGGCAGAGGTGACTGCCCTGATCAGTGATGCTCCAGGTGCCTGGGGACACCTAGGAAGGGAGCAAGAAGCCACCTGACCAAAGACGCCGAGGGACGTCGGATCTGAGGGTACACTAGGTTCGAGGGGGGTCCTAGGGTCAAAGGAGACGCTGAATCTGCGGGGACTCAGTGCGAGCCGCCGGGACAGTGGGGGCGCGCAGTCCCGGAGGACTTTAGACCTGCGGGGACTGAGGCACCGGTGCAGAGGGGACGCGCAACCCCGGAGGACGGTAGATAAAAGGGGACGCACGGGCGGGAGGGGAAGACACATCCTAGTGACCTCGGGGCCTGAGTGGACCCCAAATTTGGGGGCACCCTGGTCCCGGGGACGCGGAATCGGTATAGTCCCTTGCCGAAGGGGGATGTCTATGGAGGTGCTAGGGTCCCTCCGCTCGTCGCCATTCCCCGGTTTCGGCGCTCGGCTGGGCCCAGGCCCCAGGGCACCCACCTGGCCTCCAGCAGCAGCGGGGTCTCAGGCCACTTGGCAGTCAAGTGTGCGGTGACCGCCTTGGACGCGGCCGCCGGGCTGGCGCCGAGGAGGGCGAGCCACAACGCGACGGAGCGCAGGAACAGCCCCTCTGAGACTCTGGCCCGCGCCATGGCGCGCCCAGGGAAGCGCGAGCCGCCACGCTACAATCCGCGGCTCCTGGTGCGCCGCGCCCCACTTCCGGTGGGGGGAGCCGCAGTCCGTTACTTGGCCGGTCACCACCGTGCGCATGCGTGGCCGGCGAGGCCCAGGGGGCTCGGCGCGGGGAGACCCCGTGGGCCGATGCCGAAGCTCGGAAGGGTCCCCAGAGGGGTCTCGGGGTTCTGGGATTGAAGGCCTGGGACACTGGGCGCGATGCCCGTCCGCCCAGAACAATCCGCCCAGCCAGCCGGAGCTGCCCCAGTCCAGCTAGTCAAGGACCCCTGGGCTGATACACCTCGTAAGGGTGGAGGTATTGAGGGCAACCTTCCCAGTTAGGATCACCCTGGGGGTGCGTGGGAGTGAGATAAGGTCTCCAAAATAACGTCTAAGGCCCTAGGCACTTAGACGTGCCTATTAGTGTGCAATGTTGGAGAGCTGTGGTAGGCCAGTGGATGTCAGGCTTTCCCTGCTTGCTGGCTAGACCTAGCTTCATACTTAGCATTCAGACCGAGGTCTCCTGTGGGTATCAGAACCCGCATCTCAGTCCTGCCAAGTCGCTTTCCGAGCTGGATACAAAAGTGTGTTCCTTACTCGCAGCCCCTTGGAAGGCCCAGGTGATTCCTGTGTACTACAAGATTAAGCGGTGCTGCTTCAAAAGATTACTGCTGATCAGAAAAACACCGCTAAAGAATAGGCGTGACATGAAAGAAGAGGGAAGCACGGAGCCCTTGCTCTCCATCCGCGTACACCCTCTATGGGTATACCTCACCTGTTCCAGATGCTGACTCTCTCTGTCTCTCTCTGTCTCCGCACCCCCCCCCAGAGAGACAGAGAGAGAGAGAGACAGACAGACAGACAGACAGACAGACAGACACAGATGAGAGCGTTCCTTTTATCCTTGTGTTTAGTTTTCCTTAGAAGGCCTAGTTCTGATTAATGCCCAGGTAAGTCTCACTTCCAGAGTGGATTCTTCTTGCTGATTTTTCTTCCTGTGACCTCTTCATTCTGTAGCCTCCGCAGACCTCTTCAGCAGTTGGATGTCATCGTTGGATTTTCACTTTAGGGTCTGAACACAGTCTGTTCATATTTCCCGAGCTGCATACAGTATCTTTCTCCAAGAATTCACGCCTCGCTCCTTTCTGGCACAACTTATGTTGAGGGTCAGTCAGTACTGAAAAGACCTTGGTAGGACCTTGTAGTCCTGGGTAGGTAGACAGAAAGCCAAGGCCAGTGAACTACAATTCTAGCCATAGACCTAGAGAAAAGGTATATTGTGCATCTTTGATGTGTATTTGCTTTAGTTCTTCATTTTTGGGTGAAATTGTGGGTTAGAAGGCAATGAAGTGTTGACAGGAAGAGCCTTGCATGCCAGCACATCTCAGACAATGCCAATCGCTGCTCGGAAAACCCGACTTGCGGTGTAAGTCACATGCAGAATTTCATTAAAGGACACTAATAAAACCTGTCAGCATGGATTCCTGTTGAATTCGGAGATGCGGGCTTGCTGCTTCATTCTTTGGAGAAGATGGAATTCACTTACTATTGACCATTCATTTATACAACTACACATCTTATTTCGTATGGTGTTTTCTCAGCAACGGAAGTGATTTAGAAGACTTCCTCACCGCAGTCACCACAGGTTCAATTTCAGAGAGAAGAGGAAGAGCCTTGGGTGACCTTCAAGGTTCCTTCTCTATGTAATTACCTGTGGGGTAGGAGAAGAACCACAAAGCATTTTAGGTCAGTAAAATAGCCAGGGATTCTAAAATGTGTAAATTATAAAATTTGATCAATAGGTTGTAAGAATCAATAGCCCCTTGGTACAGGTTGGCCATGAACTGCGCACACTTCGAGGCATAATTATACTTGAGCATTTTCTTTTTTTAGAAAAATGCAATTCAAAGTTAGTCACTTCAGGGTACTATGAATGAAAAATTCATGATAGCAGTTTTCATTATATGTGGAAGAAGTGATTAATGAGTTCTTTATAATAAGAAACGTGTTTCATGGAATAAATCATCATGAATTCCTCTTAAGGTGCAGAGTGGGCTTCGTGCATTCCGTGATTATAATGGTGCTGGGTGAGAATAAAGTTAGATAATAAGAATCTTAATCTTCTGAACCTAAATGAAGTCTCAAAGTTTAAATGAAGTTTTAAAATGCTCTGTTTTGTTTTTTAGATATCCTTTGTTGTAAAGTAGACCCTATTCTTATGTTTTAATTGGAATATTTTAAATATACAAAGCATTCTTAGACTTTATTCCAGTTGGGAAGGATTCATAAACTTAAAGAATTTGTCATATCTCCTCTCTAGGCAAGATTATGTCAAAATCATAAGCAAATGAATAATGGTTTAGAGTTTTTAATTTAAGGATTAGCAAGTCCAATTTTATGATTTCCCACATTTTATTTAAAATAAGTTGCAAATGTCTAACTCCAACTTTTTGTTTGTTTCTGAACCCCAGGTATTGAATCCAGAGCTCTGTGTCTCCCAAGCCTGTATTTTACTACTGAGCTACCAAACCTCTTACTTGGCATTCCTGACAGCTTGTGTGCAGGCTTGCGCATTCCGCTCCCTGCAGTGGCTTTAAAACAGCAAGCCGTGGATATGAGCCATAGTCATTTTGTTGATATGAGAACCTGAAACTTGGTGTTAGACAACTACCTTCTATGCTTACACACATAACTACTGAAACCAAAGTGTTGATATTGATGGCAAACAACATGTAAGGTAATATTGGTCATTTTAACCACTTTTAAGAACATAGATTTTACAGTATTGAGTGCCTGCACACTGTCATGCAACTGCTATCAAGAGCTTCTCATGCTGAAACGTTCATTATCCTTCCCTCAACCTCTCACTCTACTTTCTGCTTCTGTTAATTTGACACCTGTAGATCATGACATGAATAAAATCATGCAATATTTTTGACTGGTTTATTTTAGCATGTTCTAGCATGTTTCGGATTCCCTTCATCTTCAGGGCTGAACAATCCTCTGCTATCGTACTGTTGCACTTTGTTGATTCATTCTTCTGTGAAAGCTTGAGTTTCTTCCACAGTTTAGTACTTGATAACCCTGGTCTGGATTTGAGTATAGGAATATCTCTTCAAGATTCTGCCTTCAAAGTGTTTCGGATCTCCACCTTGCAGTGGGATTGCTGGATTTTCCATCATTCTATGATTAGTTCCTCGAGGAATTGCCATACTGTTTTCTTTAGTGGTTGAATTGTTTCACATTGTCACCAGAAGGGTGAGTGTACACGGGTTCCAATTTTTCTGTATCCTCACCAAAAATGAGGTGATATTTCATTGTGGCTTTAATTCAAATCTCCCAAATGGTCCAGTCACTTTGAAGCACAACTTTTAGAATTAATTTCAGAACTGATTTCTGAATTGAAGACAATACTTTGCAAAATGGTGTAAGTACAAGACAGTGACCTTTTTCCTTCTTCACTCATTGTCTCTGAAGACAGCACTGGAAAGACTGACTTTAGTTGACACTCTTGGTACTTCCTAAAGCACAGCTTCAATGGAGGGTTGGTGATATAGCTCACTGGTAGTAAGCACTTGTCTTGCCTACATGAGGCTCTGAGCTAAAGCCCAGTAATGAAAAAGAAAATTAACTTCACAAATAACCAGATAAACTTTTCCTGATAATTATGTAAAGAATAGCTTCAGCTAGTGAGAGATTCTTACTGTTTGATTGTCCTCATCAAACTAGAAATAAGTTCTTAAGGCACTTCAGAATGTTACAGTTTTATGTTGGGCAAGTTTAAAGCATGGGCATTGCGGACATTACTTTAGGATATGTTGTTTTTGTTTATGCTGCCTTTGTTTAACTCTGTGAAGTTGTGATTCTTTGCCTGTCTAAAACACCTGATGGTTTAATGAAGGACTGAATGGCCAATAGCGAGGCGGGAGCAAGGATAGGCAGGGCTGACAGGCAGAGAGGATAAAAAGAGAAATGAGGAGGTGAACGAGGAGCGAGAGAACAAGGACAGGAGGACATCAGGAGCCAGCCAGCTATACAGCCACCCAGAGTAAGAGTGAAAGTAGATATACAGAAGTAAGGAAAGGAAAAAGCCCAGAGGCAAAAGGCAGTTGGTATAATTTAAGAAAAGCTGGCAAGAAACAAGCCAAGGTAAGGTCAAGCATTTATAAGAAAGAATAAGCCTTTGTGTGTGATTTATCTGGGATCTGGGTGGTGGGCCCCCCAAAAAGCCAAAAGAGTAAAACATCACACAATACATGGGTTTTAACCTTCATCAGAGTTGGTGAGCCTGTCTCCAGGCATTGGTAATATGTTCTCAGCTGGAGAAGGAAGAAAGATGAAAGCCCAAAGGTAAATCCTGGATGCCCAACTGAGCTGATTCTATTCATGAGACTTTTCCCAGAAGACCTGCTAATGACATCTGTCTATTAGCTAGTTCCATGCCCCATGACCTCTTCTCTCCTGGTAAATTCTGGGAAATGATTTTACAGCTGGGATATTTTCTCTCTCTTGACACTGTTGGGATTCTGTGGCTAAGAAACCAGGGCCTGAGGCAGAGACTCCCGGCAAAACTCATGTCTACTTTTTATTTTTATGTATCTTTTTTGAAGAAACAGTCTGGAAAAAGGTAGGGATTGCGATTCTAAAAGACAAAAAGCAACATCAATAAAAGGATTGTCTGCTACAAGTAACTATCTCCTAACTTTAAGTACCATAATATGAGTTTAATTGATTGGAGAAAGTCAATGCTAATTGTTTAAAGGTCAAGTTGCAGGAGAGAAGGCCTTTATTTCAAACAGCAGTAAAACCCCAAAAGCTAAATACCAACATTTATTGCTGAATCGTTATCTCAGCTCGGTTACATTTGCAGCTGGGTGTGCTAAAATCATGTCTAAAATCAAGTTAAATCAAGTATTATGAGACAGAAGCATTTACACCAATTCTGTCATTTTTTTAAGCCTCCTGACCCAGCAATTGATGTGGATAAGACTGAGTGACAATGCACCCCATTTCAAAGGAACAGACTCCATTATTCTTGGCCAGTTTATTCTCCTGTTTGCCTTTTCATCCTCTCCTTTCAGGCCTAGGATGAAGGGACAGGACGTGGAGAAAGAAGCACGGAGGCAATCTGAGTACCACATCCAAAGGGGAATTTAATCCTTGCATGTTAGGTTAGTTGGAGATACTAGGATGGCGTAGAGGGACGGAGGGATGGCGAGAAGCCTGATTTCAGCTGACTCCACTGGTGACGTCAGCTGACTCCATTGGCGACGTCAGCTGACTCCATGGACCTCCCCTTCCTTTTTTTCTATCTCCATTCTATTCTGAGACCCAGTGCCCACCTCCTTTTAACTGCTGGTCTGATGCCATCCGTGTTTTATGAAGTGAAGGGATTTAGATGCTGAGCTTGGGCAGGAGACCGCCATCTGAAAGACCGGGTGGTCTACTCAAAGGTCATGCAGTCTTCCATTTGCAACTATACTGGAGAAATCTGAGCACATCTAAGACGGACCAAAAGCAACTTACAGGAGGAAAGCCTTTACTTTCGTCCTCGCATCCAGGTGAGGAAAGTCAGGGCGTGGTCTCAAACAGGAACTTGAGCAGAAACTGAAGAAATGTGCTCACTGGTCCTCAGGCTGGCCCGCAATTCGCTAGTTTTCTTACACAGTTCAGAACCACCTGCTCTACAATGGGGCTGCCTTCAGTGGGCCAAACCCTCCTGTAGCAATCAACAATGGAGACAGTTCTGCACAGACATGCTCATAACCTTGTCTGACTCGAGTGATCTCTGAAGTGTGAGTCCGTGTTGTGTCAAGTTGACAGTTTGAACCAACAGTGTGATCAAATAATATCCACGATAGGTCTAGACAGGGTGGCACTGTCTCAATAGCTAAAAAAAAAGGTCCAATGGTACATTAAAATTGTCCAGAGAATAAATGTTCTGAAATTTTGCTGACAAATTCAGGGACTGGGGACTTAAGTATTTTAGCACGTTTCATTATCATATTAATGTAAGTGACATTAATAATAACACTGCCAATGTGCTCACTTTACGGAAACTTAAAATACAGCTGTAAAAATAAAAACTACCATAATTGCACAGGTTTAGATGAACTTACTAGTTGAAAATTCATAATACACAATGTTACATTAAATAAAATGATTGTTATTAAATTTCTTGTGCATATGTAGGTTATGGAAGCAATGGCATTTGGAAATATATTCTATATCAAATTTCTAGTGGATTATATTGCATATTATTAATTACAGGCATTCATGAGTTTCATAGTTAACGAATGGGAGCTTTCTAACTTTGTCTCTCAACTTCATATCAAACCTTGATATTCATGTAGCAGAGTTTCCTGTTCATAAATTTCCCAAATCGGTGGGAACATTGGTGTGAACTTGATATTAAATTCTGCTGAGAATTATAAGCCATATCCTTACCTAATTTATGTTTGAAGTTACTGTAATTTGAAATGCCATTGATTTAGGAGCTACCTCCTGCCTCCCCGTCTCTCTGCTGTTCTGTCTGGATTTATAGCTAAGCATTTGGCTTCTGCTTCGTCTCTAATTCGGCCAGGCCTGGAGAGTCGAACAGTCTGACCAGCTGGCGCAGAGCTGAGCCTGCATCAGCATGTTGGTGCCGCAACACCACAATGCTTCTCCGTCTTACTAAACTGCCTTAACCCTGCGTGGGGACAAACGAGCTGACAGCAGTCATCCCAGAGTGGATGAGCAGTGCCCACCGGAGAGGAAAATGTCCAGCAGCGAGATGGTGCACTATCAGAGCGGCAGAAACCAAATCAATCGATCCCAACGGCCAATAATAAAAAAGAATGAGTGTGGCTTTCTGCTGGTGGCTTACGATGAAGGCTTTAGAGCTGAACAGTTCGGGTTCTAAACATAGCTAAAGCAAAACTCACCACTGTGGAGATGCTGAGGCCCAATCCTGACATGAAGAACAGCTAGACAGTCATTTAAAATTTAACTAGCTCCTTACTGAATAAACTAGATACAAAACTCCTCCCTTCTACTTATACATCTCGATGAATTTTTCATACCTCCCATGTCATGTGAAGTTTCCCGAGCTCCATGAACGGCATGCCACAGCTACTGTTCTTGTCTATGAGCACCTGCCTCTGCAAACCTAACCACTAACCCTGGTTCACTAACCCTGGCTCGCACAGGAAAAATTTACGACTTCTTGTTTTGAACCATAATTCTGTGCTACTTTCTAAAGTGACTTAAGGTGGGAGGTTTATTACAAGCACACACGATAGATCATTCTCTAAAGAATAAACTGATATCCATAACCCAGGAAAGAAACAATGGAAATGGTTCAGACGAGAGAGCAGAAAGTCAGCAAAGCAGATTTGGGGCTGACGATGTAGGAACATACATACAGGGGATTCGAGCTGGCATGACTGGATGGAAGTAGCCGCCTCAGCAAGAGTCTGGAACTGGACTTGGGGGAATGGTTTGAGTTCAGTGTTGGACATACTGAGTTTCAGAGGCAGTGTTGCAAGGAGATAGACAAAATCCAAGGCATTAGGAAGTCAGAGTGACAAATATTTATTGTTGGCCTTTGGGGGAAGGATCCAGAAAGATTAAGGCAGGAGTGACAGTCCACAGACTGTGGCCAGAGCAGGGTGATGATCAGAGTTCCAGTCACTGAGATGGAGGAGCAGATTTGCTTCACAGGCATTGAGTTGCGGGAGTTTTTGAGGTCTCCACGGTGGTAGCTGGATAGTTGGATATGTGGCTTGGGGGTAAAACCATGGGTCACTCTTTGAAGGTGAATGGCATATTAAAAGCACCTAGGAAAGTCTGAAGTGTGCCACAGAATCCTAGACATTCCCTGTGAACAGGGTTAAATAGGCCCTGAGAGTGATA